CTATCAAGGGTGAAACAGATCACCAGCCCAGGTTGGATGCTTGAGACAAGTGCTCAGGGCTGGTGCACTGGGAAGACCCAGAGGGATGGGATGGAGAGGGAGGTGGGAGTGGGGATCAGGATGGGGAACACATGTAAATCCATGGCTTATTCATGTCAATGTATGGCAAAAACCACTACAATATTGTAAAGTAATTAGCCTCCAACTAATAAAAATAAACGGGAAGTGCTTTTGTATCTAGCCAGGCACCATTATACTAAAACATCTCCTAAAAATTTGTACAAAGGCCAGTTTCTTTACCTCTCTATGTTCTTAGGACCATGACAACTGAAGGCGAAATCTGGGACCATTAACATACTGATACTTGAAAATATCCTGAATGTTTTCCCCTCAATTCTTAAGTCTTCACATAAGCAACAGACACCAAAATCAGAAGAAGTCTCAAGATCCCTCTACTCCAAAACAGTACTTTCCCTTCTCTCAATCTTCTCTCTACATATCCTACTCTTAGAGGTTGAACCCTTGGCTTCTTTGACAATGTTCACTATAATCTCTAATTAAATTGAGAATATACTAATCTCAACTAATACTCTAGCTAGAATTATTGGCTAACCAACTAAAAAAGCATAGAAAGAGGTCTCTTGAGATGTGCCTGAAGGAAGGCAAGCTGGAGACAGGGAAAGACAGAGATAAGAAAATGTATCCACAGAGGCCATTTACTAACGATTTTGCTGAAGGCTGCCTCGGAGCATTAAGACTGCCAGCATCCTTCCTCAAGAGCCAAGAGATTACTTGAACCTCTTTTTTAGTGCTGCTCAAATGTAGCATGCATCAGAGTCATCTAGAGGTCTTGTTAAAATGCAGGTTTTTGGGTCTCGCTTCCAGAGTTCCTAATTCAGTGGGTCTATGTTGGGACCCAAGAATTTGTATTTTTAACAATGCCCCAAGTGATGTTAATGCTGCTGCTAGTTCAGTGATTACATTCTGAAAACCATGGCTCTAAATTATGACCAAATGTTTCACAAAGAAATTACATACGATGTACTACTGCTCCACATATACCTATCAATTCAGCCCAACCTCTCTGGGCCTCAGTTTCTTCATCTATGAAATGAAAAGGCTGAGCTAAAATAATCACTAAAATACCATGTAAATGCCTTTGAGTTCATGTTGGAAAGCACTGTCATTATAATTATATGAAATAATTATAATATCTTACATCTGTAGACTCTTTTATCTGC